TTTGCACACTTTTTTCGCTATTTTCGAGGCCCCAAGAAGGGGGTGTGAAAATCACGAGGGGATTTTGCGAGCGCATACAAAATATTGTGTCACAGTCCTAACACACCCAGTATATATATTTAAGAAAAAATAAATAAAGTGGAGCACAAGGAAAGCATACTTGATAATATTGAAAGAATTAGCGTGTACTTTAACCAATCAGATTCGGTCACGCACGGTCTACTGAAAATCACTGATCGCGAAGTCTGATTAGGAATCATTGTCGCGGCTGCTGCCACCGCCCTCCCAAAGCAAATTGTCCTCGGTTGGATCGAGCGCATTCGAAAGCCCATTTTCTTGAAGCTCTATCAATAATGCTAAGAGAAACTAGGTCTGACGATACATAACTGAAAAGGCCTCCTTCAACGGCAGGAAACTTGCATTAGCAAGCACGCACTTTCCTGCTTTCTTGCATATCGATATCACACCAGTTGTCACATTGAAGTACGTCTTCTTGAAGTGCTTTGCGGCAGGATGCTTCCCGTTTTCTTCGGCAAAATTCATAACTGCGTGCTTGAATTTTGCCGTATATATAATTACCGTAGCGCATCGCGAAAAACCGTCAAAGCACATCGACTGGATGGCGAAACCTAAACTTCCAAAATCGACCTAGCGTGCATTGCAGAGAACGAGGGAAACAGTTGGTGCGACAGGCCCTCGCACGTCTCCGGTGCACAAAGTCCTTCGTGCAGTGACGCGAGCGTGCATCTATTTATTTTATTAGAATACCCTCAGGGCCCGTAGGGCATTACAGAGGGGGTGGGTACAACATTTATAACACACAAGAAAAAAGAGACAAAATAAAGAAACAAGTGTCAGATGCGCAAATCAGGAAGGCAACATAAGTCAACTAAAAATGTATAAGTAAGAATTCAAGCACATACACGACAAAGATAGATAATGGAAACTGCGTATAGTTACAAGCATTGCTGAGAAATTGCAGTCTTGAATAACAAAGGGTCTGTTATTGTTACAACGGAAGAGGGAAGGTGGTTCCAATCGGCGGCTGTTTTCGGTAAGAAGGCTGCTGAAAAGAATTTGGTGCGGCAAAACGGAATGGCAACCTTATGCTGGTGATCAATGCGCGATGAGTGGTATGACGGTTGTGAAATGAGGTCTCGCTTCATTGATGGATTGTGAAAAAATATCTTATGAAAAAAATGCAGTCGCGCCAGTTTCCTCCGGACAGTTAAATTGGGTAGGTCAAGGTTAGATTTCATTTCTGATATGCTAGCAGTACGGGAATAATTAGAACAAATAAACCGAACTGAGCGGTTCTGAACAGATTCTAACGCGTTAATTAAATTTTGCTGCACGGGATCCCATATAGCATTGTGCATTGTTATATCAATTTTGACTTTAAGGGTGTGATCGCTGGCATGCTTGCTATTTTGACAGGCATTAAAGACGGCTGGTATACCATTGTCGCCATTACTGCGGTGGAAAAAGATTGGAAGAATGGGGGAGGCAAAGGCTCGAGCAGTTCTAGCAACTCATCAGTAGGTTTGTGTTCGGGTGCGGTATTCTAGGGACCCTAGTTCGGTGAAGTCCTTGGAAGAAGGGACTTCGCACTCGCAGCCTTTTGACTGTGCTCATATACTCAGCGAGGCGCGCACTCGGCCGAAGCATTGAAACATGCTTCGAAAGGTCCGAAGATGCGCGAGCTGACGAGCTGGCTCGGGCGGGTCGGAGAGCGCGAAATCGGTGAGTAAATATTTTTTTTTTTCCAAAAAACTGGCAAAATTTTAGGGGTGCACAAATTTTGCGAAATCGCAAATTATGCACGTAAATACGGTATATATGCCTAGGCAAAAAAAATTCCACGAAGGGAGGTGTCCTGATGTGCCCCTCACTCCTCTGGCTGCGCCACTGGCCGTGACTATCATGTTTTGCGTAATGTCCAAATTGATAACACCCCCTGCGCATTGTTTTTTAGACACTGGTAAAAGTGCATGAATGGGGGCAATGAAAGCGACTAGAGATAAAAAAGCCAACCGATCTCTTTCCACAGAGGACGGATGCGATAACATCACATACCCCGCATATCAGGCGCTCCTCGACTGTTACTCTAGCAGAGAGGAACAAGCCGCCGGTCTTCAATGCACAGGAAAGAACTAGGACAGCAAGAAGGGGGGGGGGGGACATCGTTATATCAATTTTGACTTTAAGGGTGTGATCGCTGGCATGCTTGCTATTTTGACAGGCATTAAAGACGGCTGGTATACCCTTCTACCTTGTACTCTCAACGCAAACTGACTGGGCAAAAGTGCTTCGCTTTCTAGAACGGCCATCTAGGGCATTGAGCCTTGATCACAAGGCAGCCAAACCATAGTCACGCCATTTTGGAGGTCCTTCGTACGCGCCTTTCATAAATTCACACTTATCTAGACCAGCCGAGCGCATGCCTGCCGACACTGTTGTTGGCCGCGGTTTCTATCTCACGTTAGCTACAAGCTTTCGTTCATCCTTGCATTATAGAAGAATGTCTTAACACGCAGTACGACCATGTTTGGTATCATTACAGCGTCTCTCTTTACATGCTTCTAAAGAAAAAAAAAAGAATCTCGAGCAACCAGCTGGGCGCTCTAGACAAGTATGATTCAATTGTACATGCATCGGTGTGCAAGAGAAGTTCCGGGGTTCTCTAGTCATCCAAGTCGCTGCACGGATATCGAACACTGCGCGTGCAGCATGTTTTCTGCACGTGCGCGGTCCTTCAAAATGGCAACCCCGCCGCGAGTGCTCCTCGCAGATGACGTCAAGCCTTATCATTTGGTATAACAGTAAAATTTCTTGGTATCGTATTCATTGCTAAGAGCTTTAGCGAAAATAACTAAATTTATTTTTTGGACCCGATGTCGCATCACTCAACAGAACACTGGCTAAAAGGATAATGACTACCCCAGGTGACGAAACAGTTTTCGTTCTGTCATTTATCTAAACGCGAAGCAGACGTTCGTAACCTAGAACGTTTACGAGCACTCTCATTGTGCCACGAGATACAGCCCGCGCCAGTGACTGCGCCCTTCGAGCGACCCAGCCTCCCCCACCCAAGAAATAAATGAGATACCGCGATGTTAATTTTTTTTTTATCCGTCAGCTACTGACCCTGGAAAGCGAGGGGTGTAGGTGTAACATGGCGTAGCCGTTTCACAGTGAGCCTATTGACAAGAGCTGCCAGCGATGGCCCCACTAATTAAAGCTGCACGTATTAAAACCGAATCGCAGCTGCTCCGACCAGGAGGCATGCTTTCATTAATGAGATGACATTTTAAAAATAAGCACGCGAAAATTTTTTGTATATAGACTAGCAATCTCAAGATCAAAAGGGCAGGGTCTTTTCGGCGCTTTTACCGCAATAGGAAATACAAAGGCGGACGTGCTGGTGAAACGCATTACGAAAAAGCTCTTCCGAATGAATCTCCAGGAATTAAGTATATTAGAGGAAAAGTGTCCACGTGTTCCCACTGTTCACACATTCTGTGGATGCAAAGCACAGAAAATTAGATCACAATGTCCAGAAGTAGACGTGACAAACATTCTGGCGGCACGCATAAAGTTATTAGTAAACATCGCTTCAATTACATGCCACACAACTCTTCAAACGAGCTATAAGCAGCGTTCCTAGAACGAACGACATCTGCCGATAAATCGCCGCCGCAGTTTCACGCTACCAATTGGACTAGACGTCACAAGCCCCTGCGGACTTGCACAACAAAAGTTGCGTTGGCACCAATTATAGCATCGTGGATTATTTAGGACGCACGCGCAACCGCTGTTTATTCATCAAAATAACTCTAGGTACGTGATTGTGACTTTGGTAGCCCCGAGAAAAAGGTGCACATGTTTTGACGCGCCAGCGTGGATATTTCCCGTGATAGATTCTTCCAAATCCAACTTTGGCACAGTTTGGCACAATTTTTGCCGATATTATCAGGATGGCATAGTAAATTTGATTTGGCACATTTTGGAGCAATTGGTGCAGGAGTGGGATCACTGGCGGCTGCTCCAACCAGGAGGCATGCTTTTACTAAAGAGATGGCATTTTAATAAAAGCACACAAAAATTTTGAGTCTGACCCTAGAAATTTGGAGTGCGAAAGGGCATGTTTTTTTGGGGGCTATTAGTGCAACAGCGATTACAAACACGGATGTGCTGGTGGACGGAATTATGACAAAGCACTTCAGGAGGAATATCCATGAATAAAATTTATTAAAAGGAAAGTGTCAACACGTTCCCACCATTCACGTGTTCTCCTGTGCACGCCAAGCCCAGAAAATTAGACTGCGATGTACAGAAGCAGACGTGACAGACATTCTGGCTTACGTGTCGTGCAACTTAAAACGAGTTGTCAGCAGCGTGCCTAAAACAGACGACGTCGGCCGATACACGACTGGACTTGCCCTTGTGGAGAGGGCGTTTCGCCGTGAAGCGGATTTGCAAAACAGAAGTTGCGTTGGCACTACACATAGCATTCTGGATTACTTAAGACGCACTCGAGATTGCTGTTTATTCAGCAGAATAATTCTAGGTACGTGATTGTGACTTTAGTGGCCCCAAGAACAAGGTACACACGTTCTGGCGTGCCGGCGTGGCTATTGCCGGTGATATATGCTCCCAAATCGGACTTTGGTGCACTTAGACGCAATTTTCGTCAATGTTATCAGGATGGTGCAGTTGTCTGACTTCACCCTCTTTGGCGCAGTTGGTGCAGGAGTGGAATCACTGGGGGATCATCGCAAGTTTTAGACCTCTCTCTTCTTGTCCTGACAAGCGCACTGGAAGCTACACAGGGAGGGATGGCATGGGAGAATGAAGTTATGTCAGGTATTTGCCAACAGCATGCTAATGCTATTTGTTAAGAAGCAACACCCAGCCGTAGATGCTGGCCGCTCCAAGCGCAGGCCTCTGTGTGAAAGAACCCCTGTGAAACCCAAACTGCAATGAACAGACCTCCTTACCTCTGTCATTTCAAGGTCTTCCTCAGGCTCTGCAGTCTGCCAGTGTCGAAGCTTGTAAACTGCTTTAGGCTGTGAAAAAAAGAAAAAAGGGAGAGGGAAGGGAGGGGAGAAGTATACATAAATGGTACCCCTGGGCCACAACTGAAACAAAACACAATGAGCAACGTAACTTTCCAACTTTCCTTTCAAACTACTAAATGCCCTCTGCCCCAAGCCAAAAAAGCAGGACATGTACAAACTACCAGGTAAACTATACACAAGACAAACATGAGAAAATTGAAGTTCTGTCTTGTTACATCAAATAGGAGTTATATTTCATACATAGCCTACAGTTCTTTGGTTTGACTTAAGCATGCATATATGCCTTTTTAATACAAGTTGTTACTATTTATAATTACATCTGGCAGCCAGATAAGAAACCTGGTGACAGGGCGTAAATGGTCATCGATATATCCTCGAGAGAGCCACACAAAAAGAGCCCATCGAAAAATGTTATATGTCCACATCAATGTTAATATTTAATGTCGCAGTTATATAAGGGCCCTAATAAAAGTAGTGTTCCATACTTTTAACAGCAAAGCTGTAAAACATCCAGAAATAATTTTTTAAATTGTCAGTGGTTCCATGCATAGCAAATACATTGTCTTGGTGCATTAGCAGCTGTATACCGTTAATTAGCCCAGAAGTTTTAACATCCCAAAGCAACACTCAAGCTATGAAGGACATTGCAGTGAATAGCTATGCTTTAATTTTAAGCACCTGGAGTTATTAAACGCACACACCAATCGGAGCATAGGAGTTTACTCATTTTTTGTCACCCTCAAGATGCAGCTAGAAAAGCCATATCTAGAACCAGTGACCTCATTTCCAGCAAAATGCCATGGTCGTTGAGACACACAGACAAATAACTAAGCCCTCATATACAGTGCAGATTACAATGTAATTACCTAAACTCTACTTTATATTTAACAAGAAGGACTACAATAGCTAGAAAAGCTTCTCTCGCCATTTTGACTTGCAACAAGAAATAGCGAGTCATTTACAGAGGAAGGCATAGGTATGCAGCACGTAATCTTATGCAAAGTGAAGTCCAATTCTTTCATTCAGTAAAACATAACACTGCATGAAAGAGATTGGTAATATTGATATTTTCGGTCAGAAGCTTCAGGATGAGTGAATCACTAGCACTCTCAACACAACATATTACATACTGGAAGCACAATACACAATAATGTCACGTTACATAAGACAAAAAAAGCTGCCCTTTCAAGTGGGCCAAGCGAGATTTCTATGAATACATTTTTCAAAAGCTTCAGCACCATCACACCTCCTATGTATGGAAAAAGGTCCTATGTATGAATAAGGGCATTTTAGCTTAAAACTGTAGTTTTGTCAATCCACTATTAATCGCGAAACAGTGGAGATTACGGCTGCATTTGAACATAGAGGTGCAATTTTTATACACATTTACATGACTAGCAGACGTAAGCACTATACTGATTCAAATTTTCTAGCAGATGCACTAGTGAACAAAGATATTTACCTGCCATTAGTGCTAAGGGCCATAGTTCAAAAGCTCGTTTAGCGGTTTCAGTAAATGTTTATAACCCTCTAGAAAGTGCTTGGTTCAAAATTGTTGAAACTTCATGCCTGTTTTATGTAAAGGCTGGCAACAAAATGCCCCCTTGAATGTTGCAGTCCCTGCTCTGTTTCGATCTGTAGTAACAAAATATCCATAATGCCCTAGTCGCTAAAACCTAAAAGCTGACCTCAGTTTAAATAAATATTTTGTCTATTAAAACCAATTGTAGTGCTTCTAGATTAAAATTTGAAAATATTTGCCGAAAATTATATGCTAGAGAATTCTACAGCTGTTTTGAAGATAGTTGTCTAAGCACAGTTGAACCCACTTATAACAATGCTCAGGTGCCACAAAATATTCATTGTTATAATCAATAATTGCTCTGAACAGATTGCAGATAAAAAAGCGAGATGGGGGATAGCAGGGTGTCTACATAAACTATATTATCGAATGACATATGCCAACACACATGAGTGACAAGGATAACAAAGCAGTCAATTTTTCACACATTCTTCAAGATTAGATGCTTTCACGGAACCATTAAAGCTCTATAGAGCCCATGTACGACAACCTCTAGAGTTTTGAACGCTGAAGCTCTTCCAAGTCACAACTTTTTACTCAAACTGCATCTTGTGGGGGTGCTAACGACCCCTGTAATCGTTTGCGCCTCGTGGCGCCTGTGTCTCGCGCATAGGCCACATTCGGAGGTCACAACTATTGAGCCGTAAGTGTGTTGTGCTCGCGAGCGTTTATCACCACCATCATCATCATGGTTAGAATGTTAGCGCCGACAGGGATGCCTGGCAGCATATGAGAGAGAAACGGTACTCTTTGGCGGGTGGCGGTTTGTACGAACGATTGTGTCTAGCGGTGGGTCTGCAGTGGATGGCATTGCAGGTCCTCTGTCGTAGGCAATCGTGGCGAGTCAAGCGTTGGCGAAACTGCCTTGTGAGTGTTATTGTGTTTCTTGCAGACTGTAGTGCAATTTTTTGTAAGGTTGTTTTAGCGTGTTATCACAACAATATGTATAATCATTCGGCGGACGATATCATCGATCTAAAAGCAGTTAAATAAATGTGTGTTGTTTGGTTCGTTCCGACCGTGTCTACTTTGTCCGTTCACTCCAAGAGCCTGACCCTCTCCACATCAAGACTCCACAATGTCTGAAAGTGCATTGACAGACACCACCAAGACCCGCACCATAGCAGATTTCAAAAGTCAGCTTTGCCGCAATGCCACAGTGCTAAGTAGAACAAGCCACAAATGCAAAGGGGTGCTGGTGGAAGTTGCAGTTGAGGTGCAGAGATTCAGCAGCTTGAATATCTTGTTTTCTTCTGTCTTTTCATGTATTTTGCATTTCATTATTTTTCAGCACTGACCCCCCCCCCCCAGCAATAAAAATTTATCGTTCGATGATGAGGCCTGAGAGCATTGCTGTAACTTTGTTATTTCATCATAGAAAACACAGAAGGTGATGTAGAAACAGCTCCTCATTGTTATAACCGGTATATTGTTAAAAGCGGTATCACTATAAGTGGGTTCGACTATATCAGAAAGTCACCCAATTAATATTTTATTATTAATATTATTTCTATTCAGCTCTGTGTCATCCCTATTCAATTCATATACGATCTTGCTCTAAGATTCCCGATTCGCACACCCCTTGAATTTCGTGAGGACTAGAAAACTAAATGAGAACATATCAAGCGTCCCACAAGCAACAAGCAAGCTGAAGAGGAAGTCCATCTAATTGCCACACCCGGAACATCGTGGTTGTGAATGACAAGCTGTACATTTAGGAAAGATGCGTAGCCCGCATAGACTATCTTCTAGCTTATAAATTCAAGAGCATCTTATGCTCTTGGCAGTGTCCGTTTTACAGCATCCACACCCATACTGCACATGCGCAATTCTCCCCCATTCTCCTCTTCTATGTAGGTGTTCTTTTCCCTCACCCTATCCCCTCTCCATCACAGGTGCGGCACAACAAATTACGTCATATAATGCTCTCCCACTCTCTCTCGTTCTCTAAGGGTACGCCGGTGGGCGGTGCCCGTGTCGCGGTGCAGTACAAAGTGCACGTTCACTGTGCTTCCGTCATTTTCCCTGTGTGCAACGGTGTGCGAAACGCCATGAACATCGTCAATGTCGGCACTAGTTGCAGCGACAGTACCACCACGGCGAAGCAGAAGAAGGCTGAAAAAGCTGAACGTGAATATCAGCATCAGCAAGCAGACCTCGTACTTCGGGCCAGGGAAACCGACTGTAAACATCAACATCGGCAGGAAACAACCCCGTACAAACGTCTCTTCTCGTCTCGATACATTCTGCACAACTTTCACTAAGTTGTGTTCCCAAGTGAAATGAAACGAAAACTCGATGCACCCCCCCCCCCCCTGTGATGCTTTCACATCCCACCATGGTTGCCTGTGGAAGGAAATGATGAGTAATCTTTCATTAAAGTCAAGTTGTGGGGTTTCGCATGCCAAAAGTGATTGCGAGGCACACCACAGGATGAAACCACATCAATTTTGACAACCTGGTTGCCACGTGGGTGGGTGTGGTTTTTTCTTTTTTTTTTTACAACCCCTTGAGATGTGGCTGCCAATGCCAGGAATCGAACATACAAACTTATGCCAGGCAGTATAATGCCAGAGCCACTAAGCTGCCCATGCGGTAATCTTGGCAAAAACCAACACTTACTTGGCAAAACAGAGAGAGAAAGATTGATTGATATGTGGGGTTTAACATCCCAAAACCACCATATGATTATGAGAGACGTCATAGTGAAGGGCTTCGGAAATTTCGAACACCTGGAATTCTTTAACGTGCACCCAACGGGCCTACAACATTTCTGCCTTCATCGGAAATGCAGCCGCCGCAGCCGGGATTCGATCCCACGACCTGCGGGTCAGCAGCCTGAGCCACTAGACCACCGCGGCGGGGCAGAGAGAGAAAGAGGACACTAAAGATGGAATTGCCTTATTTGCACAGCAATGCTGATTGATGGCTGAAGTGTATAATATTTTCATTTCCCCTCTTTCAAAAAGCCCTCAAACACTCTTCTGAATAATAATAATAAAATTCTCACTTTCGCACATGACCCTTCACGAATCACAGGCCGAAAAAATTACCAGCGCTGGGCTGCGCCGCTGCCGATTAAAAAGGGAAGCCCCTCAATCAGGACAGCGCGCCATTAGAATCCGTCAAGTACAAGTGGAGTTACAAGCACTTGTGGCATGCACCAAGTGCTTTCTCTGACTCTTCGTGGTTGTGGGCGCGCTGAAAGCTACGCAGGGCGGAGACGACGACTAGACAAGAAGATGCGTCTGTTGTAGGCGCACGTCATGCACTTGAATAGTACACGCAGCTTACTTTCAGTGTTATCGCAAACGCATGCAGGCACGTGGCGGCATACCTCGGTGGCCTACATAGCTATATAGCTCACAATGCTCTGATCAACCACGAAACGAATATGATGGTACAA